ATTCCATCAACTTGGTTTGTAATTTTCTGCCTTTTAGCTGACATGCAGAATGGGTATAAATGGACAACAATTAAGCAAGGCACAGTATTTACTGCTCTTCATTGCTGTCAAGACTGACAGAAACAGTATTTCATTTCTGAGATCCATAGCTTATGGAATCACTCAAAATGGCACAAAATAGAGGTTTGGGGGTGCCTGGCAGATGATCTTCCAATGGCTTTATTTATGATTCAAATAAGATAATGTGTTAAAGAGAAGGCATAAGCCACAATATAAATATAGTCCATTATTGTTAAAGTCTCTTGAGGACTGATTTTCAAGACAAAGAGCAAATAATTTCCTATCTGTATGGCTCGGTTTCTTTCTCTGTAAAAGAAACAGATTTGACAACATGATTTTGGAGGTAACTTCCAGCTCCAAACCTATGATCCCTATGATTATCAGATCTTCAGAGGAATTTCACTTGAGAGAGTCTATGCTCATGGATGAGCACTTAAGCTCATGATGGTAGAGACGGTTCTATCATTGTTTTGGGGATGGTATAGCCTATGTTTTCAAAATGTCTGCCCCTCACCAAAATTATGTGATGAATTATAGTGTATCAGAGTTAGAAGTTGCCTCAGTGATTATCTATTACAACCTATGCCTTATTTGCAATCCCCTTAATAGCATCCCTAACAAATAATCATCTAGCTTCTACTGGAGTTCCTTGAGTGAGTGGGAACTCATGGAGTGGCCTATTGGATAACTTTAATTCCGATTTTTTCCCTTGCAACTTTAATTAGGCCAGGGAGTCAACCTTCTTTATGAATATTAGACATTTCCTAACTAGGGGTTATGAACTCTGAACTGATTGTATTAACAACTTCTAATTTGCTATAAATACCATAAAAAAGCTAAGGAAGAGACTGAAAGGACTTGAAGGCCATTATATAACCCATAGACTGAATGAAAACTAATTTTATAGCACAGTGGCTGATTGGCCTCCATAGAGGATGAAGCAGAAGTGAATTAGTACAACCTGGTCAACACTACCTCCCACAGAGACAGCCCCTGGCAACAAAGTTGGTTACAAATACTTCCTCTATATACTCATTGCTCCTAATTCTACTATGCCAGCTTAATTGCTTCATCCATATAAGTTTCTCTTCTAACTAGGTTTTGTATTTGTTAAAAAATAATAATCATAGGTTGTGTGACAACAAACACATCTCTTGTTTCTGGTAAATTTCAATTAGACATTCAGCACAGAAAGAGAACTGCACCTAGAGAACAGAGGGCCTGGGTTCAGATCCCAACTCTCAATTTAGTGTACATATAACCTTGAGCAAGTCATTTTTGATTACAAAAGCTTGAGACTTCTTCATGATAAGTCATCCTCAAATAATCAGAAGTGGTTCATGCCCTCATCTTCTTTGCCCATCCATCTGCAGGGTGTTTATCAGTTAGTTTTCTTTGTATGTGGTTGATTCAATGTAGTGAGGAAACAGTGGTCTTTGCCTCAGTGGAAGAGTGATTAAAATACTCATGGAAGTATGGACACAGTGGGATTAAAAGAGAGAGGATAAGCCCTGAAAACCAAATGGAATACTTGGAGAGATCTTGATTCCCCTGAAATTATTAGCTATCAATAAAAAATTTCTGTAAGCAGCATCCATCATGACATCAGTCTTTAATATTTTGTCAGTTTTTCTGACTCCAAGGCCAGCTCTCTATTGACTACACCACACTGTCTCTCAAAGAATTTATTAATTATTCGAATTCTCTCTGTATCTCTCCTGTCTCTGTCTCTGTCTCTCTCCACACACACACACACACACACACAGAGGTTATGTATGCATATTGAGCATAATAATAGTCCATAACACATATTATCATGTCCCTTCAGGTTAGGTCACATTAGGGCTACAAGAATCCTCCTTCCATCTTTCTCACTCTCTCTCTCTCTCTCTCTCTCTCTCTCTCTCTCTCTCTCTCTCTTCTCTTCTCTCTCTCTCTCTCTCTGCCTCTCTCTCTCTCTCTCTCTCTCTCTCTCTCTCTCTCTCTCTCTCCCCTGCCCCATACACTTACACAAATACACAAAATATATACCTATAGCTATTGATTTAGCTGTCTATTCAAAGATATGTATGTATAGAATTTATGCCAGGTTTATATTCTTCCCACAGTTTACCACATGTGAAATATGTATTTATATGCATAGATTTTCACTTGATGTTACATAATGATCAGAATTCCCCTCATACATTATAGTAAGTGGAATTGACATTGCACTGGATTTAGAATCAGGACAATTTGGTTTCAGATCCTGCCTCAGACATTTACTTTTTATGTGATACTGAGCAAGTCATCGAACCTCTCTGTGCCTTAGTTTCCTAATCTGTAAAATGAGGGGGTTGGATTCAGTGGTCTCTAGAGTTCTCATAATTCTAAATTTCTGATCCTATGGGCTGACATTCTCTCTTTTGGATAATCCTCAGCTAAGAATTCCTAGGAAGAGGTTCTAGACTTAATTTTGTTTTTTACATCCCCAGTTCTTGGACCATAATAAGCCCTTAATGAACGTTTTCTGTTCATTTATTTATTCACTGAAACTCCTGTGCACCTGTCTTTGGAGATTCAATCTGTTTTGCATCTGTCAGAATTCAATCCCAGTATTATTTAAGCCAACAAGCCCTGTTCCAGGCAGCTATTATGGAGCAGGGTTCTTACGGTTCTCCTGATGGCTGAGAAATACCCAGGGGTACTGTCCAACATGACCTTTGACCCCTTTGCTGACACAGCTCACTTAATCCTTTTATCATACGATCATTCACGTAATATGGTTGGTCAGATGAGTACACATCTGGTAATAGCATGGAGTTGGAATTTTCCAGTAATCAAATAGAATACTCAAGGGTTGTAAGAATCATACCAGTATTACATATTAGATAAGCACTGAACATGTGGCAAACCCTGATTTTATCTCCTTAACAAAGTCACAAAATGAAAAGATAGCAAGTTTCATAGTTAACGGCAAAAATGAAATATTATGGAATCTAAATTTCTTTTATTATAAGAATGGCTTCTCTTCACAACTTTGTTCTTAGTGTTTTAGCCATAGGAGCCAAGCTCCTTGCTGTACATCAGTGGCATCAAACCCAAACAAAAACAGATTGCTATGGATTGCATGTTGACTTAGAAAATCACAAACTGACATTATCTATGTTGTATTGTATTTTTATTGATTCTGCTATACCTTTCCCAATGACATTTTAATTTCATTCAGCCATATTTGGGAGTTTTGTGGGCTGCAAATTTGACACCTCCGTTGCATGCTATTGGCATTGGTAGTAGAAGAATCTGTACATACCTTGTAACTCTTTGGAGTTTCCTAAAATGCAATTATTGCCTATTCTGACATATTTGTCTGATAACCGATTAAATAGTTTCTTTGAATATGTCATTTAAAGACTAATTGCTTTTTTTCAGATGACTAGGCAGCATATTTTATTGTCTTCTTTGGTACACAACAAACTAAGTTGTCAGAAGCTGATGAATAAACACTCTGATTTGGTTTTTAAGATTGGAACCAATGTCAGTGGTATTAACTTTTAATGTCTTAAGAGAAAATAACTTTTAAATGATTTAAGTTGCCAGTCTTTCGCTGTCTAGATTCATCTCTAATAAGTGCTTTTGAAATAACTGTTTTGAATTGGATGACTTATAACTGGTGGTAACTCGGTTGGGAGACTCATGCCAAGAATAAAATCTCAGAACTTTGCAAAGTAAAAAAAAAGAAAGAAAGAAAATCTAGCCATAATTATAATAAAAGCAATGGGGATGGTTAAGAGTAACACAGATATTCTTCAGAATGATATTCATGGAACAAATTCATCAGCATTTTAAAATCTTGGGAAGTTGATGTTCCAAATTGTTCCAAAATGGACATTAGCTATGCCCAATAAATGGTCAGTACTTGGGACACCCAAGTATTATGGCCAGGAAATGAGGCAGCAAAAACTTCTCCTAGGATGATTAATGCTTCTGAAAGGGTAAATGGCAGATTCTAAGAGGATTACTATCATGGTTATAGATCGGAATTGATGCTTTGCTTATGTTTTCTAATAAGAATGGGGGGTGTCATGGCGTAGTCCAAAAAGCACTGATTGATTTAAAATCTTACCTCTTACCTCATTACTCATGTGACCGGGGTCCCAAATTTAAACTCTTTGGGCTTTACTTTTCTCATTTATAAAATGTGCAGATTGGTCTAAATGGCTTCTGAGGCCTCTTTCAGCTCTATCTTTGTCATTCTGTGATCTGATTGGTTTCTTGAAGAGAATATTATGAGTATCAAAATTGGATATTTGTTATCTGAAGAGTCTTTGAACTTTTACCCCCAGATTGGAAAAGATCTAAATTGAATAATTACATCTACCTTGGTACAGAAATCACTAGATGAATAGTTCTAGTCTAATGCTACAACTTCTTAGGCTTTCCACGGCTCTACTGGTCTACCATTCTTGTAGGGGCTAGAGAAATAGCAATGTTCTTCATGTATGTGTCAACCTTTGAATCTTAATTGGTCAATCTCTTCTCTAGCTGTTTCTGATGTGATCCCTTGTGGGCATTAAATATTACCTCTTCGTAGCACAATGGAAAAAGCAGAAGATTTGGAGTCAGAGAACCTCAATTTGGATTCTGGATCTACAACTTCTTGACTGAATGACACTAGGTAATCCACAGTTTCTTTGTTTATAAAATAATTGTAATTGGACTACATGACTCAGAGGCTTCTTCTAGCTTTATATCTAGATCCTATGAAAACTAAAGACCCCCTCAACTTTGGGGGGGGGGTGGAGCACTAAACTCATTCTTTGTGCTTTAATATAATATCCCCTAGATTTAGATTGATCTCCAGTGAAATCCCCACATATTCATGGAACATTTGAATTTGTCTGAATTTAACATACAGAAAGAGGAGAGGAAGTTGTTTGAAGAAGAGCACCTGGAATTACCTGAAAGGATAGGCAAAATCTATGTCGATGCTGAGGTCACTCTCGGTTTTGTTGGCACAATCCACGCTCAGCCTCAGTGCGCCAGAATAGCCACCACATGTTGCAAATGCAAAGATTGCAAAAAGCTGAAAAAGAGAAAGAAAGAGTGAGAAGAGAAGAGGAGAGAGAGAGAGAGAGAGAGAGAGAGAGAGAGAGAGAGAGAGAGAGAGAGAGAGATATTTAAATAAGCTTTGAAAATGAGCAGAAATTATTTCAGATGACTCAAAGTATTAGAACATCTAATGTTATAACTTGGTGTTTTTCACTCAAATGACCTAAACATCTACATTGTGACACATGTTAATGGCAAAGAGTATTTTTGGTTTTGTTTCCTGAGATATCCAAAGGACCACAGTTGAAGAAGAGCAAATATTGCCATTAATTTTTATGAGTAGTATTAATCAAGGGGCTGATTCTCCTTGCCTCTGGACCCCTAAAGGCTATGATCAAATTTGGTGAATAGTTCTGGATGAATGTGACATGCCCATTCATGCCTAATTAGCCAGACAACCAACCACACAAACAAAATCACCAAACCAAATGGTCTCAAGTCTTGCTCCCTAGGCTGACCAGTTGTGTTTGGCCTCATTTTTGTTAGTACTACCTGGAACTCAATGTATCCATGCTTCTACAGCAATTGGACAATGCTAAATGAGATTCCTCTATTGGAAACTTCTCCCTTCGTTAGATAAGTCTTTGAAGCTATGGACTACTTTAAAAAAATCTCTGTATCTTCCTTATATCAAGAACTTTGTCAATAACAAACACTGGTACATGTTTGAGAAATGAAAAGTATTATTCAAGTACAAGAAGGGCTCCCATGTGGAAGATGGATTGTGCTACTTCACCTTACTGGGCAAATCTAAGTTCAAGGGGTGGACATTTCATAATAGCAACTTTGGTTTGATGTAAGGCAAATCTATGTAACACTTTGATGTCCTCAAAGTGGATGGGTCTACCCTCAGAGGGCATGAATTTCCTTTCCTGAAAGGCCTTTAAGAAAAGACTGAACATTTGAGGTTATGTTTTAGAACAGGTATTCTTAACCTGACATCCATGAACCCAAGAGATCAGTGGATAGATTTAAAGGGGTTCATGAACTTAGATAGGAAAAAAAATTACATCTTTATTTTCACTAACCTCTAAATAAGAAACAATATTTCTTCCAATTATGAATTTGAAAAAATGCACTGATAAAGGGGTCTACTGGATTCACTTCATGGCAAACAGGGTCCATGACACAAAATAGGTTAAAAATGAATCCCTGTTTTAGAGGAATCACAGGATTGTTGATCTAGAGGGGACCTCAAAGGTCATCTAGCTCAATGTCCTCATTTTACAGATGAGAAAACTGAGACCAGGGAGATTTAGTGACTTTCTGAATGTGGCACAAATATCAAATGTCAAAGGCAGGAATTGAACTTAGATTCTTTGACTACAGAGCTAGTACTCATTCACGGTACCACATTTCCCTGGAGAGATTGTTGTTTATGTATGAGTTGGACAAGATGGTCTTTGAGGTTCCTTCCTACTTGATTTTCTATGATTCTGTAAAAATTCTGATGTACCATAAGGTCCTGCAATTGAAGTGCCTTTTAAATCATCAAATAAACATGAAATTTGTTTCAACGTGCCTTCAGTATCAAGTATGTTTTATCATTATTCATTAATGAATTATCCACTTAGGTTTGGTATGTGTGACAATTAGGCAGCTAGAGACAGTGGATAGAATGCTAGGCTTGGAATCAGGAAGACCTTAGACCAAATCCTGTCTCAGATGTTTACTAGCTATGTGACCAAGGGAAGTCACACCTCCCTTGAGACTCAATTTTCCCACCCATAAAATGGGGGTAATAATGGCATGTACCTAAAAGAATTGTTGTGAAAATTAATAGGAAAAACATGTAAAAAAAACTTTGCAAACATTATGGAAGAGAGATGTATAAACATAATGCTTAATTATTATTATTTTGTTATTGTTGTTATTATTATTATGGCCACTGACAATGAGCCTAGTCTGGTCTACTTAAAGTGCAAGAAACACAGTCAACACAGTGGTGACCCAGGAGGTGCTATATACTGTTATTCACCCTCTTCACCTTTCCCATTCAGATGAGAAAACTGAGACCTATAAAGGTCAACTCACCCAAGATCACCCAGGGAGTGGATGTTTCCAGCTCTCAATCTTTGACACTAAGAAGACTTTAAGAAAAAGTGGCATGGAATGCTAAGATGTCAAAGTTGGAGGGGAAAGTGAGATAAACTCATTCAGAGAGTTCTTCATTCAATGGTGAAGAAACTGACTAAAAGAGTCATGTCAGACAATTTCCATGAATAGCTAGCAAGGGAATCAGGATTCAAACTCATACTTCTTCCCAATTCTGCCAAGAATTCTTTCTCCGACAATAAACTGTTACTTAGGATAGGAGTAAGAAACTATTTTTCAGGGAAAGGAAACGGAAGCCTGTTTTTTATTCACAGCTCCAAATCAGCCATGGTTAGTGGCCCAGCAGCTTATTCTGGGAACTCAGTTTCCATCCTAGAGCTTCAGTCATCCTGAGATGTTGGATAGTAGCATTTTAATTGGGGAGATGTGCCAAAGCATGCCAAAGTGGCTGCTAATGTTTATAGAGTTGGCTTATTATGAGTAGTCCACGGGGCATGATCACTACAAAATAGCATGTAGCTGCCTAAGACCTCCCAACCTGAATTAGGGGTTGTGGTTTTACCTTTGTATGATCTATTGAACCATCATACTTTATGAAAAGTGATAGAGACAACAGACAGGAAGCCTGGTAGAGAGGTTAAAAAAAAATCCATCCTTGGATTCAAGATGCACTGGGTTCAGGGGCTTCTTCTGACACCCACAAGCTGTGTGATCTTGGGCTAGTCTTTAGTCTTTGCTCTAGGCAATTCTCTAAGACAGCAAAATATTGGTCTCTTAATGATCCACATCAATGGGAAATTTCCATACCTAGTGTGCCCTACATTGATGAAATAACAAAAATAGATATACAAAAAAAATGAAAAGAAAGGGAAATTGTATCATTGTAATTCATCAATATGTGACCTGTCCAATTACTCTCTAAATACCATGTGCAGAATGAAACAGTCCCTTGTCTGAATAACCATAATCATCTTTTTTAAGGTTTAGAAAGTACTTTGCAGTTACAAGGTATTCCATATATACTCTTTGCTCCTCCCAAGAGTCATATGACTTTGGTAGCATAAGTAATTTTATCTTCATTTTATGGAAAAGAAAACTTACACTTTGAGACACTAAGTGATTTGTTTTAGTTCATATGGTGGTCATGGGATTTGAACCTAGATCACAAAGTAAAGTGAACCCTGGACTTGGCATTAGTTCTGCCACCTGCCAGTCATGTAGTCTTGGGCAAATTATTGAACTCTCTGGGTCTCAATCTTTTCATCTGTAAAAGAGGAATAATATTACTCATCTCTGTGTCCTACTATTATCAATTCAGCCAGTCAGTCATCAAGTTTTTATTGAGTACTTCATATGTGCCAGGCACTGTGCTAAGCCCTAGTGAGACAAAGAGAAGCAAAAACAGTTCCTGCTCTCCAGTAGCTTATAATCTAATGGGGGAAACAAGTAAATAACTATGTTGAGGTGCTTTGCAAGCACTCAATCTAGAGTCAATTCAATTAAATGAGCATTTATTCATTGTCTACAATGTATAAGTTACTGTGCCGGGCACTGCACCAACAGAAACTTCCATTTCTGAGGGAAAACAACTTGTACATAGATGAGTAAATACAAAAGGAAGTTCAATTAAGTTTATAGGGGGAGGTTAGAGAACTAAACACTAGGGATGTTTGGGGAATCAGGAAAGAACTCCATGTAAGCCATGGTGATTTCATGGACAGCCACGATGCCAATATGTGAAGATCTGGGATTCTGCAGCTATTAGGACTGCCTCCACCAATGGTACCCTCTCTAAAAAATCTTCAAAAATAGCCTGGGCTCCAAAGAAATTAAATGACTTTTCTATGATACCACAAAGGTGGGTTTAAACTCAGGTCTTTCCGACTCCAAATAGAGCATCTTATCAATGATGTCATGGTCTCTGATGATGATGATAAACCACTACTACTATTATTATTTTAATGCAATCTACTATTACTTTGGTGCAGGCAGTTCCTGGTGAGAGATTTCCTCTAACAAGAAAGATTGTCATGTGATCTTCAATTTATGGTTTCAGAGGGTTGTCTAGAGCCACTGAGAGGTTAAATGACTTCCTTAGCATCATGCAGGCAGTATGTGTCAAAGGCAGACCTCGAACCCAGTTCTTCTTGATGCCAAGGCTCTTTATTCACTACTTCCCATTGCCTCTCATTAATATTATTATTACCAATTGAATTTGGGTTAAACTAAGAAATGGTGCACAATGACATTATTTGTGGGGAGGCACCTTCAACAGAGTAGTACTGTGCTAGTTATATACATTGCTTGAATCATTGAACAGAGACTGGCCTTGGCAAATGGAGCCTAATTAACACCCATATTGTGCTTTGAATAGAGTAGGTGCTCTATGCATATTGTAAAAACATTAAAAATACCAAGAGAGTGATTGGACAATAGTGAGGGGAAGGAAGATAGATAGATAGATAGAGAGAAGAGAGAGAGAGAGAGAGAGAGAGAGAGAGACAGACAGACAGACAGACAGACAGACAGACAAAGAGACAGAGAGAGAGACAAAGAGGTAGAGAGAAGGAGAGGAAGAGGGAAAAGGAGAAGAGGAGAAAGGAGAGGAAAAGAGAGAAGAGACAGAGAAAGACATAAAGAAAGAGACACGGAGAAAAGGTCACAACTGTGGGGTATGGAAGAGAGTATTTTTAGCATGGTAGAGTGACCTTGAGGAAAGATCATTGGACTGGGGAACAGACCTGAATTCTAGTTCTGACTCTGAGCTTCCATTTTTTTCATCTGCAAAATTAGAGGTCCTCCAGAGAGCCAAATGATATCTAAATCCCCATCCTGCTCTAATATTAATAATATTCCACCCTGCAAACCTTTAAGCCCACTCACACAATTTTCCACTCTCTTAATCTATGCTCCTCAAGA